TACTTTATAGCATCACATCATTTCAAGCTTTTATCATGGCTTCTTTCTTCTTGAATCATTGAGTCATTGTTACAGATTAGGGTCTTATTGTTTTAAGTATTCCTAAGAGATTAATTTATGACAGTGACAAATGACACCATTAGGCTTGTTTTAGTGATATTTTTACTTGCAACAGTGTTTGGTCTTGTCTGTACTTCTCTCATACATTTCTGTGGACTACCAGAGCATAATTGTGTTTCTGATAGATAACTGTGCTCCTACTTCTTTATAGGTATCATTGCCTACTTAGCAAACATTTAGGAGTAAATCAAGAAGTATCTTTGCCACATGCATTTCAGTAGTCTTTTTCGGCTGATGTTGCATTAAGACTTCAGAAAAGATGAGCATTGAACAGACGTAAATTTGAAGCACTCTAAATCCACTCCAATTTGGAGTGCTTCAAATTTGGACCACTTCGGGGCAAGTACAGGTATGTAGTTTGCTGCTGAAAGGCTTCGATAAAAACTTTTATAGCAGCATGCCAGCGGTGTGCTCCCCAGTCAGGTGGTACAACAAAGAGTCACTTAGTCTGTGGGTGCAGACAGAAGTGACATTTTGCCTGATCTGGCCACAGCAAGCAGTTTGTAGCTGTGACCAAACACAAATGCACAGCTACAGACAACTTCATAAATGGCTGATCGAGTGAAAAAATGACCCCTTATTGCATAAGGTATCAGATACAAATGTTTCAAAATGTAGCATCTTGTGTAACTTGTATCTGTGGAGCTCCCAGCCTGTTGCTGTTTTCAGAATGAGAGTGGGGAAGGGAGAGGAGGGAGTTCAGTCGGGGGATTTTTTCAGCCCCACTCTGGGGTTGGGTGTATTGGAGCCCTCCTCCCTGCCAAGGTGGAGGGGCTCCAGTTCACCCACCCTATCCTTCAGCACCAGCTGGGGAGCCCCAAGAACAAGCTCCTTCTGCTGCCTTCCCCCCCCACTCCGCCATTCTGAAAAGAGCGAGCACTGGGAGAGGATCTTGGCTGTTGCTATGGCAACTAGATTCCCTGCTCCCCGGAACCACCAATGAACTTCTGTTTGGTCTGAGGTAACCTTGTCACTCAGAATGCTTTGCAAAAATATGAGTTACAGCTGGGAGCTGCATTTCTGACTGCGCCCTGTGGCTCCACCCCCTCCACCCCCGCCCACAGTGCACCTTGTTCCCTGCACTGTGCACTTGGGCTGGAGACAATGATGCCCTGCCTCCAGAGATTGGCAAGGACAACTGAGTGCCCACCCTTGACAAAACTGGAAGATTGAGGCCCTGCACCCCTGATGGAACTGGTAGACCTCACATCCTTTCTGCCCTTCCCCACTAGAAGTGGAAGTGTAGAGGCAGAGAGGCATGTAGAGATTCCTGCTCTCCAGTCCTCGGGATGGCCAACCACTAAGGAGCATGCTGCTCATTGGCTTTCTGTCCCTATCCCTCTGCTAATCTCTCCTTGAGGGAGAGAGCTGAAAACTGTTGGATGCTGGAGAACCAAGCAACCGCCTGTTGCATTCTATAGTGCACACAGATGTAACTGGAAGCACCTCAAAGTTGAAGTACCTTCAAATATTTGCTAATTTATCTAGGGTTATTTTGGGGCACTTACTCTTTGAAGTGCCCCATAAGTATTTGAAGAACTTGAAATATTATATCTGTCCAGACCTGGCTGCCCACATCCTGGTTGACACCAGGGCCTCATATGCCTGTATATGAGCAGTAGATTAATCTTAGTCTCTTTCTCAGGGAAAACATAGCAAAAGTTTAATGGTGCATTCATGCAGACATTAAGTACCACATCTAGCTTACATCAGTTACTTCAGTAAGGTCTGTACACTTTACATATTTCTGGAAGTATGATCCTTTGAGGATTTTAGAAATAAGTTAGGAAATGTTCATTTATGTAGATTTCATATACACAGACACACACACATACACATTGCATGGACTTGATCGTTTCATGTACTGTATAGTGTGCCAGCAAAATGTGGGGCTCAGTGAGAGTTTAGCAATCTGCTGTTATAGTATCAATTTGTGAGATTCTATCCCTCTTGTACATGTGTATGCCTGGCTGTTTGCTGCTTGCACTACTGTTGTCCCAGTCAGATCATAACCTAAGTTTACTAGATGTTGTATGGACACAAACCAAAAACACAGTACCGTCCCAAAAGAATTCCCGTTCTAAGATGACAGAGCCAATGATATGAAGAGGAGAATGTAAGGAAATAATTCGACAACATGATTGGCCGTGGTCTCAACGTGTCAGCATCCTAACAGTTATTAAGCTTCTTGTCATTACAAAAGAGAATTTTAAGGAAAGATTTCAAAAAGAGTGTGGCATTGCATTGTTGAAGTTTACAGTGAAGTCTTTTGGCCCAAGAATAAAGGGCAGCATACTCAGCCATGCATGTGAGAGAACCTAACAAGTGGGTGATCAGAGGCTGGGAAATGACCCCATGATAATAAATAAGAAATGAAATTTAGAGTGTGAATAGGTCATGAAGTAAAGATATAGCTTATGTTCAGTTTGACAGAAAAGGAGGAACCAGTGGATTGCAGAGATGGATAACATGGCCAAAGTCATGGCTTAGAAAAATAATTTTTGGAGCAGGCATTGTAGCTATGAATGCAGAATTGTATTTGTCAGGATTGTATTTGTTGAGGCTATAAAGAGTGAAGTTCTGGTAACAAAAATGAGAGGCTGGACAGTAGTTTTAGGTATGCAGATGGGCAAATATTGCCCATATCCTAAGGATGTTATGCAGAAAAAATATGTAAGGTTATAATCTGTGACTGCTCTGTGCATACATTTCTTCAAGTATTTTGAAGCTGAGTTGAAAAAAAATCTAAACATTGTTAAAACAAATACTTAGCAAAAAAAGACATTCTGTAATTGACCAATGTTAAAATGAAAAATTACAATTATTTTAGTACTAGTCCCACACAAAGGTATGCTCAGAGAGTAATTTCACATGTGGATACAATTAACTGTTAATCATCACATAAATAGTAACCCTGCCATACGTTCAGCAAATTAATGACATGATAACATGGGAAACCAACCACAAAAATATTCTACAAAATATGTAACGTTTTTGTGGCTGGTATCTATCACATGTTAAAATGAATGTGTAGTAGGGTAGCCCTACCATGCATCTGATGTTAGTTGTCTTACAGGGCTTGGTTAGAAGCTCCACCATATCAGCAAGTTGACAGCTATGTGGTGCAGCCCTGCTGTACCCTGCTGTTTTCAGTGTGTCTTGTCCAGGGGAGCCAGTCTGCCATGTGCCGGGGAGCCAAAGGGTCTTTTTGACTCCTATGGCTCACTGCAGTCTGGTACCAGAACATGCCTTGTCTTTGGACCCCACCAGGGTTGTGGGCCAAGGCAAGCACCATGCTGGGCTCTGGGAATTGTAGTCTCCCGAGACCCAGCAGGTTGACTGCCTTGCTCCACAACACCCAGGAAGCAGCAGGCAAGGCACTTGATACATCCTGCCCACAGAAACCCTGGGATTGGGGTCCCCTTGCACCAGGACTTTAAAGACATGTGCAGCTGGCTTGCACACAAAGCTTTCCAACATCCTAGTGCACAGGGTCTGGAACTGATAAGCAGCTGATTGTCAGTCCCAAACCATGCTGGCATCATGATCCAGCCCTAGTGTGGTCCCAGGGTTGGGACCTAAAATCAACTGATTGTTAGTCAGGGTTGGCACCATAGGGCTGTGGGCACTAGGTTTGCAATTTGCCAGTGCAGGGTGAGAGCCCAGCTCTCACTGAACTGGCAAGTAGTAATGGTATGATTGGGATCTGATCCCAAAAAAATGTGTCCTGCCACGCATGTGTGTTATGGCAGGAGGTGCAGTTTTAGGGATAACTGATCAGACCACATTGTGCTATTAAATATGTGTTTCAGGGGCCCAGGAATCAGATCTACAATCTGTGTATTGCAAGTAAATTTGGATCAGCTCTTCAGGGTGGTAGAACATACTGTGGAGGTAACAGCTGAAATAACTAGAATTTGTATGGCAAGGCTGAAGATCAAATGTAGTTCAAGACACTACATCAGTGATCTCAAATAGAACAAAACATGCTGTAAAAGTTGAATCTACCAGAGCAAGTCAACACTGATCTTCTGTGGTCTTTTCTGTGCAACAATATCATTACTTTTATCAGACATCCAAATTTTAAGTTTATATAAATGAAGGTATGTGGAACTCTGAAAGAGAGGAATTAAGCCAAAGCAAATATTAACTCTGAAAATAAAGTCACAAATGTTCAAGACCGCAGCTGTATTCAACCAGTTTAAACGAGATTTGGTCCTCACAAAACTTCAGTTTAAAAACCAAACTCTGTCTCTTCACCTTGGATGTTATTTGCAGTTTTTCATATGGATGTGAAAGCAGGAAATCCATTAACACTTTTTTAATTAAAAATTTTAAGTATTAAAGGGAATTCATTTTAACAAATTTGATTCCTCAGACTTTAACACCTTACATCCAAATCCATCCAGAAAAGAAAATTGAAAAACCTGGTCCGTGTGTTAAACATTAAATCAGTGTCTGTCATGATAAGCATGCTGTTGGGCAGTGAGAGAAATGAATATAAGAGTTTTGCTGGAAGAATCCATCTAATGAATGGTAATTGTAGAAGGAAAACTTAACTTACCATACTTATATCATAGAGGAGAAGCAAAGAATGGCTTAGGATAGATGAGCATAGCACAGCCCTATTTTGTCCTAACTGATGTCTGATGTTACTGAAATAATTAAGATTCAGAAATAAAAGTTCATTAAATTTTGGGGTTTTTTCTTCATATTTTGGCTAGCAGTATTTTTACTATCCTTATTAATTTGGATGAATATATTTTCTTTTTATTTTGTTTTTAGTTATATTTGTTATGTTGGTACACAATCCAAACAAAATATTATTATTTGGATTTTAGAGTTTATTTATTACTTTGTTTTTGTTTTTTGTAGGCTGTTGAAAACCTCTGCTCTTATAAAGTGTCTGCTACACTGTACAAGCAATTGCGACAGGTCTGTGAAGAACATGTAAAAGCACAAATCTTTCAATTCAGAGAATATCCTTTCTCTTGCATTAAAAAAAATCAGTCAAATATATCTTTAAAGATTTACTTTTTGAAGTAATACAACAGTTAATAAAACAAAGTTAATCAAAACAGTTGATATATATTCTGTATTGAACACCTACGTATCTTAAATTTGGTTTGACAGAATTCTGCTTGCCTGAAATGGGTAACTTTAATATATGGTTCAATAAAATATTGGTAACATTTTCATTATTGTCAATGCATTAACAGTGTATGAGTAAATTTTATACTTTGTTTAGAGAGTTTTCATTAGTCAGCATAAGTGAATTTTTAACTCCTGGAAAAAACATTATTGCAGGGGAATATTATGCAGGTGATGTGTCTCCTGCCTCCAAATTAGGATTATAGATTTTACTTTTTAATCTGTGCAAACCCAGCATTCAACTCTTGTAACTGTAATGTGGATTGCTTGGATAGATAGTGGAGTAAATTGTAAATGAGCGTAAAGCTCTTCTGAAACCAGTTTTTGTGTGAATACCTGACAGTTGGTACTGTCTGGGGCAGTGGTCAGCAGTCTTTTCAAGCTGCAGGCCAGAATGACTGACTCAGTTTGGGTCAGAGGTGGATGGGCTCTAGCAACCAGCAGCCACTTGTCCTTATCACAGCATGGGGCGAAGTACTTGCTGCAGCCCGGGGGAAGCACCCTCTACTGCCACTGCTTGCACAGGAGAGGCCCCATCACTGAAACCCTATGTCTGTGGGTTAGATCTGGCCTAGGGGCTGTAGGCTGCTGACCCCTGATACAGGGTACTATTCCTCACAGTATTTTAATGAGCCCCAGATATGTTGTTTATATTCCACATTACTTAAGTCCTTTGTTTGTAAGGAATATAAGGGCATCTCTACTATGCATAGTACAAAATGTATTTATAAGCAGATTTTTTTTATATTGCTGTCAACTCTGCTGGGTTGCTGGGAGGGTTGATTTTGACACAGATGGGATTCCTCTTTAACCTGTCAAAGTTAAGCAATGCTTCTCTCTTACACCATCTGGTGGATACAGTGAGAGGCATTTGCTCAGAAACTTAAGTGATGCTATTGCCTTAGCCCTGTGCTGAGCTTAACTGAATTCTAATTCCTGACTTCCCGCACAATATCACTTGAGTTTCTTTTCTGAAGAGCTGACAAAGATAACCGCTTGTAGCCTGTTTCAAAGGTGTTGACAATCTGGTTTTCCTTAACAAGTGCTGCACAGATTTTCTGGACAGTCTTTTATTTTTAAAGAAGATAGATAAATGCTGGCAAGATCATTGCAGACAAATGGTAAGTTGAATACTCAGTTCATAATACAAATTCTTGGCTCATAGGGGGAAAATCTGGTAACATTTGGTTGTGGCTTTTTCAAAGTATTGTCACATTTTTTATAGTATTTGCAAGAGCCTGTCTGGAGATGCTGCGTGGCTGCTTGGTTGGCCTTTCTGATTGTTGCAGCCATGTATTGTCTCATAATGGCAAACAGTTGGAACACTACTCAAAATGTATGTGTACTTAACTGTATTTTATGATTGAAGGCAATAAGTAATAAGAAAGTGTGTTTTATTTTCCGTTTTTGATTTTGAGTAATTTTAAAAAACACACAGGTTTTAGTTGAGTTAACCTTGTACGAGGGTTAAACTTGACTGATTTTTTCCTTCACTATCCATCTCTGCCAATCCGCCTTTCCCTGCATTTGTTTTCTTCCCCTCCTTGCTTTTCAATAGCTTTTACCCTTGCAGTAAATTTTAAATACCTTTTATAGCTGAGAGGAGTGGGAAATTAGAATAACTTATTTACAGTAAAAGTTAAGGATTAAAATAATACTTCATTCCTTAGTGACTAAGCAGGAAGTATCCCCCTTGGAAAAATTAGAAGTGCAGAAGACGTCATAGCCCTTCAGCCCTGAATTTTCTTAAAAACAGAAAATTGTGTACACTCTTCTTTTCCCTGTCATTTTCTTTCAGGGTATGTCTAAGTTGTTTAAGTGACATTCTGCAGTTCTTGGTTGCTTCCTAAACACATTAACCTGACATTTAACATTAAAAGAAACAGAAATAACTTTAAACTCTCAATTTCTTTAATCTAAAGATGGATAACTTCCCTTACATTAGTTTTGATTACTGGCAAAAATATAGTGGGGCTTCAAGGCAGAAGATACAAATCAGGAAATAACTTCAGATTTTTAAACTATCATTTCTAATCTTTGGAAGAGAAGATAACAGTACCTTGCAGAGATATCAGATAGGTAGTTAAAACATTAAGCAGCAAGAACCAGGTGGAAAAACTATGTTTCCCTCCTTGCAATGCAAAACGTTATAGAAAAAAAATCCTTTCAAAGATTTTTCTATAGGAATTTTGACAACAAAACAAAAGACTTTTCACTTGGCTTAGATACTATTTTGAAATGAGAAGTGTTTTAATGTAATGTTATTTTGGTTTGTTTTATGAAAATTTAAAATATTTGGATTATCCATTTTCATTTTTTAGATTTTCAGGATATATTTTCCTTTCTCTTTTCTTACATTTTCTTCCTCCAGTATCATAGGAAGTGTGAGAGGAGGAAACCACTTAGTTACTTTTTTTCTACCTGGTATAATGTTATACAGTAAGGAAGGCTGGATGACCAAAAAGAATTTAAAATGTTCTGAAAAGCAAGTCAGTATTTCATTGAAATAGAAATAGACACTTGTCTGTGGAAAAGTCAGGTTAGATTAACTATAGTTAGTCAGACTAAGCACATTTTCCAATAGAACATGTTTCAGAAAAACCTGTCTGAGTTTATAAGAAACCAAAGAGAAAATAATATGACAGTACTGAAGGACTTTTTCTCTGTTCCAACAAAATGCAGCCTTGCATTGCCTAGTTATCTTAACTACTTCTAAGTCATTTTCTAGTGTGGAAACAAAGTGGGAGCTTGTTTTTCATATTTAACTTGCTCTGAGAGACATGGAGAGAAATTTTTACTGGACCAATAGGAAGAGAAAGTGTCCAGTTAACTGAAAATACTAATCTTTGTAAGTGTGTGAGTTCTGGAGAAAAATGAAGATAATGGGTGTTAGAGATTTTATAAACTTATCCCTATTTTCGTATTATTATGTCAGGGACTGATTTTCATAGTAAAAGGGTACATTGCATTGTCATTTAGTCCTCACCATAAAAATTGTGTGTTTGGAAAAAAATTTAACTAAACAAATACTATTTATAGTTTGCCACTTAAGAATGTAGGTTGAAAACTTAATGGTTGCACTGCTTTGGGGGCTTGGTGGGTATAGCAATAATACAAGATCTTATACCATTTTAATAGCTTTTAGGTTTTTTTTTTTTAGTATGTTAATTGAATACAGGCTTTGTAGCAATATAATTGGTACTTAGCCACTATGGGCATCAAAATTGTTTGAAAACTTGTAATAGGCCTTCATAAAAATCACCTGGTTAAATATATGAAAAATCATAATGATAAAAGTACACTTTACAAGTTGATTCATTACCACAACTCCTAATAATATAAAATACAATCCTGTGTGCTGCAAACAGATAAAAAACCAAATTGGTTCAATCACTACCTTTTATTTCCAGATCATGATTAGAAGTATTTTCTTATTTTTGGATCGTACATATGTACTTCAGAATTCAATGCTTCCTTCTATATGGTAGGTATTTATATAAGTACCTTTTTAAACTTAATATGTAGTTTAAAATTTTAAGCATTTTTTCAGATTATTACCTTTGTTATATATAGCACATCTCATTTCAGTAACATTCCCTGTAAATGTATGGGGTTATATGTACAACTGATCAGTGTGCATGTGTACTTTTTGCCTGGGACCATTCTGTAAGCAAAAACATCAATAATGCCTGGTAAAATAAAGGAATATTATAATACTCCTACAAAATAGATATTACAGAGTCAGGAAATTTGGAGTTAAAGCTAGGCATAAAAGAAACTGAAACCTGTTAAGATAATGGAATTCCCCAGTTACAGCACCCGAACAGTGTTAACTCTGTCTTTTGGTAACTGGGTGTATCTTCACATGCACTTTATTGTGGAGTTCACTAATTATTTCTGCAGTAAAGCATCACTGTCTACACATGCGAGTATTAGGGCACAGTAATTTAATTAACTATGCCATTAGATAGTACTGTTGAGGGACTACTGTCTTATGGTGGAGTAATTTAACTGCAATCAAACACTCATGAAGATGGTGACATCGGGCAAATTGCATGCAGTCAGCCCAGGCAGCTGGGGGTCAAAACCCTGCCTGCTACCTAGCCATGCAGCTCCCCACATTCAGCACTCTTGTGTCCCAGTCAGCCCCAACACCGCCCAACGCCCCCACCCAGAACTCGGGGCTGATTCCCCAAGCCTGCTGCTAACGTGGGCCTAGTCCGCCCCAGTTCAAAGTGCTGCTGTCCCAGGTGCATGTGTAAACACTGCTGTGTCCGGGAGCATTGCACTCCAGCTCAGAGTGCTCTGGAGTTTATCATTTTGCCTTAACTGCATGTGCAGGTACACCCACTATGTAATAATCTTAAAATTCAGGACACTTTAAGATTTTTAGAGGATTAAATGATGAGGAATTTGTTTTCGTTTTTGTTTTTTTGAAGATATGTTCTTTGCTCCGCTTACCTCTCCGTGGTGTCAGCTTAGGATATTGTTAAGACAGGGGTGGGCAATTATTTTGGCCCAAGAGTCACATAGGCTGTTTTGGTGAGCTGTTGCAAGCTGAGTCAGCACCTTCCCCAGCCCCAACGCAACCAAAACTCCCTATGTGGGATGGGGCCCTGGGCAGTAGTGTTTAGGAGCAGGAGGGGTGGGAGAGGCTGGAGTTACGGGGTGGTGACACTTCAGGCTGCGGCTGGGTCAGAGCCACAATCTGTTGCCCGCACAATGCTGCAACAAGCGTGGGTTCCTCAGGCTGGGGCATTCAGGGAGCAGATCGCAGCTCTGCCCTGCCCTGCCATCCCAGCCCCAGCTCTGGATGCAGCTCCCCACCTGCCCACTACCAGCACACCCTGCCCACACAGCTCCCCAAGCTGCATCCAGGGCCGGGGTCTTGGGGCAGTGACAGCGTGGGGCCATGGCAGAGCTGAAAGCTGCCACCAGGCCTCACTCCCCTGCCCGCATGCCCGATCCAGTGCACATGGCACCCTCTCAGGCCGGTCCAGAATGTTGGCCAGGGGGAGCGTGGGCTTGATCCAGCCCATGGGCCAGCCCCATGTCACTTGCCCAGCCTGTGCAGCCCTGTGAGTTTGACACCTTGCTATATGCCAGTCTCCTACTGTCAGATCAGCTTCATTCTGAGGGTGGTCAGGTATTGAAACAGGCTACCCGGAAAAGTTGTGGAATCTCCATCTTTGGAAACTTTCAAGCAGGTTAGACAGACACTTGGCTGGGATGGTTTAGCTGGGGATGATTCTGCCTTGAGCCGGGGGCTGAACTAACTGGCCTTTTGAGATCCCTTCCACTTCTACTTTCTTACAATCCTATTATTTACCAAATGTTCAGAAGTTTGACAAATCAAAGTTTGGTCCTGGCGCAGAAAAAAACCTTCTGTACCTACCTGGTGCCATAGTGATTATCTGACTCCTGCGCTCATCAGTTTCCTCTTTCCTGTGGACTGATGGGAAGGTTCACAGAATGCAGACTGACATCAGTGGGGCTGCTAGGGAAATGACAGTCTGGCAAGCAAGCCTGCTGCTTTCCATTCTCCACAGGCCAGTGGGATTCCCACTTCCCTGTGACGGCAGCAAGAGGAGTAGAGGTTGTACAAGGCCTTAGGCCATCTGTTTGGAAGAACTGGGTGGAAGACTGAAGGTTGCAATGCTTTCTTGCCACCCATGTATGCTTTTGCTTCAGCTATAAAGGTTGAAATGACTTTTTATATTTAAATGTCCTGTGGTTTTTCTGTTTCTGTATGAACTCTCTAAAACTTACTGCCTATATTGTTTTGGTGAAATCACCTTTGATTTAATTGTGTTAAGAAAGCCAGTGCATGTGTGTTTAGAGATCTAAAGTATATGTAAATTAATAGCTGTCACAGTCCTGGTCAGGCTGTCTCCCAGCTGGACATGGGCATGTTTTAGTTCTCATGTTGGACCAATAATTCTTTTAAGCTTTCTTGAGTCTGAGTAGAGTTAGGGTCTTGATTTCTAGGCGCGCACAGATTTTCTTGCTGGCATGAATGTCTGAGAGCTGTAACCTGAATTTCAACAGCAAGAATCTGAGATAGATTAGTATGGACTCTTCCAGACATTTCAGTTGCTTCAGCGTACATTTTCCCAGGTTTCTGCCTTGTGGGCACTCTAGTTTACTGCTTACCTCTCCAGGGATGCATGATAGTTGAAGCTAAAACAGACAAGGGCTTTTCAAAACTTCTGTCATAATTATTTTTTACTTTAGTTAGAATAAGATACAACTTTAGGTAAAACACTTGCATGCTATTCTCTGAGTCAATTTTCTCCACACTCTTTCTGACCTCTGCAGTAATTTTCCTTTGGCTTTGCTGGCATGTACTCAACAAGGTCTCTTTTGTCCTCTCTCCTACCCTAAGCTTCTTTTTTGTCACCTGATTTTGGGCACAGCAGGGCAGGGCAGGGCAGCAACTTACAGACTAACTTGTTCAGAGAGGTGTGAATTTTCATGGGCTACAACCTACCCATGTATAGGCTCAACAGAGACTCTGGGTTCTTATTCCATTACACCGACCAGCTTTTACAAGTTTTGTGTCCCTTAGTGGGTTAGCTGCTTTGTTTATCCCTAGGGATCTACCCAAATTGTGATTGTGTGGATTTCATGGAAATCACAAAATCAGGTGATCTCCGTGAAATCTGTGGGGAGGGGAACTTACTAAAAATAAAATGCTGGCTTCCAGTGGAAGCCAGCATTCCTCCTGCCACTGCAGCCTGCCAGGGACAGAAGAGGTGGGAGACTGCTGGCAAGATGGTTTCCACCTCCACCTCTGGCTGCTAGTTGGCTGAGAGGGCTGCCTGTCATGTGGTCCTGCCCCTTTCCACCAATCAGCAGTGTGGGGTAGGGCCACTTGATGGACAGCCCTCTCCACCAGTTGGCGATGAAGGTGGGGTGGGGCCCCTCAGCCAATGAGAGGCATGGTGCAGGGGGGTCACCACAATAAGCTCTCAAAAATGGTAGCTGGTGGTAGCTGGCTCCATGATCTGCACGCAAAATCAGCCGGCCACCTCCTCATTATCCTTTTTGATCTCTTCAACCCACATTCCCCTCTCTCAATTATACTTTCTCTTCTCCTCCCCTTCTCCCTGTCCTTTGTATTCAAATTACATTATTCCTTTCTATTTAGTATCTGCTGTCTGTAAGTCTCTTCATAGCATTTGAAGAAGTAGCCTGCAAAAGTTCAGGTCTCTGAACATCATAGTCTCTAAGGTGCCATCCTGCTCTGCCTTCTGCCAGACTTCAGACTAATACAACTAACTACTACTTTCTTGATATTTGTGATCCGTCTCCTGAGAAAATCACATTCCTACACACCCTCACCATCTGCATAGAATATATTACACATAATCATAAAGGCTAACCATATAGAGAATTCAGAATCACAAAAAGAATTCATA